GAGGCGGCGCCCGGGGCGGGGTGGGGCGGGGCGGCTCTGCGCCCCCAGGCCTGGGGACAGGCAGCAGGGGGGGGCTGGGCCTTAGTGGGAACACCGTCCAGAGCGCTGACCTTCCCCTGCCCTGGCTCAGCCCCGTGGGGACAGGCCGCCCGGGAAGGACACTGCCAGCCTTGTTGTCTCGGCCGGCAAGCTGGCCACACGGCTGTCCCTGTGTCTGTCCCAGATGGCCACCTGCCTGCTGGGTGGGGACACGCCACAGGCAGCTCCACATGCCCCATGCACTGGGTCTCTGGGCCGCTACCCCCTGCCGGGCCCTGGAGCCCACCTGAGTGCTGGGGGCGAGGAGCAGGGCTGGGCTGTGGTCACCATCCGCCCGCCACTTCCTGCCCGGCCTCCATGGGCCAGGGTGGGAGTGTCCCTGCGGAGCCGCAGGGGCAGGGGTGCTTGGGCAGGAGCCAGGAGGCACAGCCGGGCGGGCCCGTGGGTGGGGGCCCAGAGTGTGCGCATCCTCTGGGCTGGGGGCCAGGCTGGGCCTCCTGCTTGTGAGGGGCAGTGGGGACTGGGGGACTTTAGGGAAGCAGAGCTGAGGCCTGACCCCCTCTGAGGAGCTGCATCCGATGTGAGGGACACGGAAGAGGCGGGGGTGGCAGAGGCCTGGCTTGCAGGGATCATGGGGCTGGCCACAGGCAAGGGGTGGGCCTCCACGGGGAGCAGGGGACTGGGACGCTAGCTGATCCGGCTTTTCAGGAGGGGCCTCCATGCCAGCAAGCTGGATCAAGCCTTTCCTGAACTTCACGCTGCAGAACCCAGCTTCCCTGAGGGGGGAGGAAGGGAGCCAGAGATGCCTGTGCTGGGGCCCCTGGGAGGCACCGGGAGCAGATGCCACAGCAGGGGAGGAGCCAGGCAGGGTCACTCGGCAGGGCACAGAGCCCTCGCAGACCTCAGCGAAGCAGAAACCTGGCCCCTGTGAGGTGGGCAGAGTGCCCAGCGCAGGGCAGGTCTGACCCAGCCGCCACCCAGACAGGCCTAGGGGTGGTGCCACTCTGGCGGGAGGACAGGCCTCTCCGTCCGGCTGAATGGCATGGGGGCGTCATCGGGGTGCCTGGAGCTGGAGTTGTCTGTGCTGATGGGAGGACCAGGGCCCTGCGAGGGCAGGGGCTCCAGGAGGCCATGGGGGCCACGGGGAGTCGTCGGCCACAGCAGCAAAGGCCAGCCTGCAACTTCAGCCCCTGTGGGGTAGAAGGCTGGGGGGCGAGAGGTGAGGGCAGTTCCCACTGCACGCCCTGTTCAGCCCGGGCCTCCTGCCCAGGCAGACTGCAGGCCCTGGGAGTTCTCAGGCTGGGGCAGAAGTCCAGAAACCCGGCTCACACTCCCAGCTCTGGAAGTGCCTGGGGAAGACGCCCCCACCTGCCTTTACCACCCACTGCGAGCTCTCCGGGTGCAGCCCACTGCCCACGGGGTAGAGGGAGGCTGGCCTCGGGGCTGCAGAGGGGTGGGTCTCCCTGGGCAGTGACAGGTGCAGGGGAGGTCAGCGTTAGGGTACACCGGAGGCTCCGTCAGCTGCAGGAGGAAGCCGAGGCCGGTGTGGATGTCTCCTGGCGTGTGGAGCGTGGTGCTCGCTGCGCCGTCCTGGGGCCCAGGGGTGCGCCCAGTGTGGGGGGTCTGGGCCCAGGCCCGGCCTAGCACCTCTGTGTCCTTGGGATGGCCAGCACGCTCTCTGGGCTCGGGCTCTGGAGACGACAGTGCAGCCTGTGAGAAGGACCACGCCGTCCCTGGGACCAGCCCAGGGTGGGGAGGTGGGCGTGGGGCTGGTCCCAGGGAGTCCGTGGCCTCGGTGTGCCCTCCTCAGCCTGTGAGCCTCCGAGCCCCTCGGCCCATCCTGGTCTGTCAGGCTCTTCTGCGGGCAGAGGTGTGTCCGGGGATGGCGAGCAGGGCCTCCTGAGTGCCAGATGGGAGTGGCGGGCAGATGGGGCCTGGGGCTGTGGGGCTGGGGCAGTGGCCCAGGGCTTGACCTTGTCCTGTGTCCCCAGGGTCCTGGCGGCAGAGACCACGTCCCAGCAGGAGCGGCTGCAGGCCATTGCGGTGGGTCCCCTGGCCCACGGGACAGTGAGGGGCTGAGGCTGGGAAGCCTGGGGTGGAGGGTGGGCGGGCGGGTACTCCTGAGCCTCCAGTCCTGGGCTCAGACCCCTGGGAGGGCCGGGAAACGGAGGCTGGCGCTTAGTACGCAGTGCACCGGGCTGGGGGTGAGTGCGGGCAGCCGAGGGCGCGTCCACGTCCGGGCAGCTGGTCCGGGAAGCCCCCTGGGGTCTGCCCTGCCTGCAGCCTGGCCTCACGCCAAGGTCAGGGGCGCATCTCCACGGGCCAGGAGGACCCCACTGCAGACCTACCGGGCCCCTGGCAGCTGTAGAGGGGTCCTGGACCACTCCCCTGGCCCCGCCCGGACCCGCCGGCGCCCACAGGAGAAGCGCAGGAGGCAGGCAGAGATCGAGAGCAAGCGCCGGCAGTTGGAGGACGACCGCAGGCAGCTGCAGCACCTGAAGGTAGGCCAGGGCCGCCTGGGGCTCACCCGACCCCGTCCGCCCGCCCGCCTTGACCCCGACCCTGCCCCTAGTCCAAGGCCCTGCGGGAGCGCTGGCTGCTGGAAGGGACGCCGCCCCCGGCCTCCGAGGGGGACGAGGACCTGAGGAAGCAGGTGCAGGAGGACGAGCTGAAGGCGCGGCTCCTGGAGGGCTCCGTCTCCAGGTGGGCGGGGCCGGACGTGGAGGCGGGGCGGAGCCCGGTGGGAGCAGGGGCGGGGCTTCTGGAGGGCTCCGCCTGCAAGTGGGCGGGGCCTAGGACGTGGACGGGGCCCGGTGGGAGCAGGTGCGGGAGGGAGGCGGCGTCTGTCCCTAGGATGCGGACCGGGACTAGAGCTGCAGCACTGCCTCCCAGGGCTTCCTGGCGCCAGCCCAGCTGGCCAGCTCTCGGGGCGAGGTGCCGACGGAGGCTACAGGAAGCCCGGGGAGGGGCGGATGGGAAAGTGGCCGGCCTGTCCCAGGACAAAAGGCCTGTGGGTTCCGGGCAGGCGGGAGGCCCAGGCTCAGCTCAGCTGGGAGCAGAGGGGTCAGGGCAGGGGAAGTGACAGCCGGAATTCCAGATGTCTGGTCTGGTCCGGGAGCGGGAGGATGCCCAGTCCTGGGACTGGCGGGCCTCACCCTGGATCTGCAGGCTCTGCTAGGTGGGGCAGGGGTGAGTTGGATAGGAGTGCACAAGGGCAGGGTGGGATGAGGGCAGGCACCTCCCTGGGCCTCAGTTTCCCCAGCTGAGCAGAGCAGGCAGAGACCCCTGGTGGCCGTGGAGCTGCTGGCTGACTTAGGTGACAGAGGGGCTGAGCGGGCCTGGCCCAGCAGGGCTTGGCAGAGACTGACAGACCGACGCCGCCTGGCCGGTGCAGAGCCCACCCGTGGGCCTGGTGGGGGCTCAGGCAAGCAGAGCCTCTTTCACCCCCACAGCCTGGAGGACACCTCAGGCCACCCCACAATACTCTGGGGGTCCTTGGCCACTCCCTGCCTGGGGTGATCAGCTTGCTGGTTAGCAGAGCCGCCCGGAGGGGCAGGTGTCTCGCTGGTGCTCACCCGTCCCAGCCCACAGACAGCCCTGCAGGAGCGGCACCTGCCCTGGAACCCACAGCCAGGATCCCAGCCTGGGCCGGGATTTAATCCCCGCTCTGCTCTCGCAGGGCTCATGGGCCTGTTCTCTGGGGTTCCAGTCTCCCTCGGAGCACACTTCCTGTTAAGAGTGAATTTGAGGAGGCAAGCAGCCTCTGGTTAGAGGTGGAGGGAGCCGGCCCTGGGACAGTCCCAGCCCTGCCACCTGGCCCCTGCTGTGCCTCCACATCCCCATGGGGCAGGGCTGGATGGGAATGCCTCCCGGCTGCTAGGCCTGCCAGACAGGCCAGGCGGTGCTGCATCCTGGGGAGCTGTGGCCCTCACTCACGCCCCTCCACAGGCTGGAGAAGGAGATCGAGGCGCTGGAAAACGGAGACGTGGTCCCGGCTGCCGTCCCAAGCCCAGCCCGGGGCCCAGCACCAAGCCCGGCCCGGGAGGAGCCTAAGGCAGAGGTGGTGGTGACTTCACAGCAGGTAAGGCGGTGAAGGCCTGGTCCTGCCCTCGCAGCAAGAGCTCCCAGCGTGCACTGTGGCCTTACTTTCCTGTCTTGGGGACAGAATAGCCATGACGGCGCCTGCCTGAGGGACGCCCACTCGGATCGGGTGTCAGCCCTTTGCACAGCTGGCAGCTTTCTGGGTCTACCCAAGGAGAACTCCTACTCTACCCTGAAAACCCACACCTTCCCGGAAGCCCGTGCCCCACAGGAGTCTCCTGGCAGTGTAGTTCTCTTCAAGCGCCTACTGTGTGCAGGAGCTGTTTGTTTTTTTTTTTTTTTTTTTTTGAGAGGTTTTTGCTATAGAGTGCATACGCTCACCAGAAAGAGAGACAGAGAGACAGAAAGCAAGAAATCACCCCCTGAGCAGTGGCCGCACTGCAATCCCTTCTCCACTCTCCTCTCGGGATCTTGGGCATGCACGCACATGCGCCCAGTGTGAGTTTAAGCCACCGGGTCCAGGACTAGAACCACAGTCAAGTACATGGGAGTCCAGCAACATAGCCATTACGCCACCTGCTGGTCCCGGGCTGTTCTGAATGCTCAGCACAGCACACCAGCTAACCCCAGGGCCGACCTTCGGGGCCCACGCTCTCTCCTGATGGAAGCCAGAACCCAGGCCCAGGGAGGTCGAGAGGCTGGATCCAGGCCACCCAGCCGGGAGCGGGGTGTTATAGGCCAGACCTTCACTCCAGGCTGTGTAAGGCCAGGTGGGGTGATTAGACCCGGAGTCGCAGACCCCGGGTGTCCACGTCGACTTGGGGCAGCCAGCCGCTGCATCCTCAGAGCTCCAGGGCATGCGGGGTGCCTCCTCACCTTCAGCCGAGCAACACAGCTGGAGGACATGTCCCGCCTGGGAGCGGGGGTGGTGGGCACTGTCCCCCCGGGCCTGGGGCCCTGTGCACGCCCACTTCCTCTATCCCACCTGCCGCTGGTTCGCTGACTAGAGTCCAGACGTTCGGGAGGAGACCAGGAGGGACAGAGCCAGGCCTGCGGAGCCCGTGCCCGCCAGGCAGGAGGGCACGTAGTAGGCCCCCGCTGCGTGGCCAGCCGTGGAGGGGCGTCCTGGTACTGCATTCCCAAGGAAGCAGCCGGGAACTGGGGCTGGCAGGCTGCTCACAGGTGTGGGCTTTGACGACAGACCAGGAGTTCTGCCGGCCCAGGCCCAGAGGAGGCGTGAACCCAGCTCAGTCCACATCCTGCCCACGCAGAAACCACAGCGTGTGGGAGGACACCCGAGGGGGGCGGGAGGCAGACCACCCGGGTGGGCGGTGGGCGCCAGTAGCCCTGGGCTAGGGCCTTCCAGGGCAGCAGCCTAGACTCCAAGGCCTGGAGGCAGGAGGCAGGAACCGGTGGGCAGAGCTGAGCGGGAGGTGGCGGGCGGGCTGGGGGTGACCGCAGGCACCGCCCTGCAGGGATGTGGCCCGGAGCCTAGGATTGCCTGGAAGCTGCAGGGGACCAAGCAGGAAACAGCTGGGTCTGGGGTTACCCTCCACGCCAGGCCTTCCCTGCCTCCCACCCTGCAGGGCACCAGGCAGTGGCTGCAGGGGCGAGGTGGGCCAGGCACCCTGACACCTCTTTTCTCTTGCAGACCCCGGTGGCCACGCCCAAAGGTAGGACAGCTGGGAGGGCCATGGGCCGTGGGCGCCCTCTGGTGGCCAGGGCGGGGATGGCGGGCAGGCTGGAGTCTGTTACCACCAGAGTTGGGCCCACGATGTGGGCGTCTGGGGGTCGGCTGTCGGGGCCAGAGGGTGCCCAGGGAGCCCGTCCTCGTGCCAGGGGGTTTTCTCAATGTCCCAGGTTGGGGGAGCAGCTGTGTCCTTGGGGCCCAGGAAGCAGGTCGGTGGGGCAGGTCGGGCTCAGACCCCCGAGGGTGCATTTGGAGCTTGGGCCTGCACCCCACCCCCGTGCCAGGCCTGGGGTCCAGCCTCTGTCCCCTCGTGTCCCAGGGGCCCTGGGCAGGCAGGCTGGCCCTGGTTTCTGGTCTGCGTAGAGAGGAGCCTGCAGGCAGGTCCCCCAGGAGCCAGGGCACAGCGCCCAGGAGTCAGACCGCGTCAGGAAAGGGCCCAGCACACGGCCCCCAGCTCTGGCCCAGGAAGCAAGCAGATCTGAGGCCCATGGGACACCCCGTGGGTGGGCGGATGGCAGGCTTGCAGGTGACGCTCAGTACACATGTGCACACGTAACTAGCGTAGCTTAGGACAGCGTGTCACACCCCAAGTCGTGGCACGCAGAAGCGTCCCGTGTGCACCGGATGTTCGCATGTGCACTCAGTGGCCCATCCCGGGGCAGAGGCTGGAAGTGTCCCAGCCTGACTCGTGTGTTAATTATAAGGAGAGTCGTCTTCTCTTCCTGTGGAATTAGAAATGAGTAATTAACAAAAATCCATGCGGCCTCTCAGGGATTCTGTGGAAATTGTCTGGGCTGAGATGGGGGCCGGGGCGGGGGCTGGCCGTCTGTGCTCCGGAGGAGGGGATTGATGTCTGCTCCAGGTGTCCAGTCACCGGAGGGTCGGCATGCAGGTGTCCGGGGTGGGGGCTCCGGGCCTTGGGGGTCCAGGTGTCCGGTCACCAGGGGGGGTCAGTGTGCAGGTGTCCGGGGCAGGGGCTCTGGGCCTCGGAGGTCCAGGTGTCCGGTCACCGGGGGTCAGTGTGCAGGTGTCCGGGGCGGGGACTCCGGGCCTCGGAGGTCCAGGTGTCTGGTCACCGGGGGGTCGGTGTTCAGGTGTCCGGGGCAGGGGCTCTGGACCTCGGAGGTCCAGGTGTCCAGTCACCAGGGGGTCGGTGTGCAGGTGTCCGGGGCTGGGGCTCCGGGCCTCAGGGGTCCAGGTGTCTGGGGGCCCAGACTCATGGATGTACTTGGGCATCTGGGAGTCCAGGTGTGTGTGTGTAGGTGTATACATGTGTACATGTGTGCACACACGTGTGTACGTGTGCTGCACGCACAGGTGTGTATGAGTGTGTGTATACGTGTGTACACATGTGTATGTGTGTGCACGTGTGTGCATGCATGTGTCCGTGTGTGCATGCAGGGCTCACGTGTCGGGCCTGTGCCCCCTCCCCCTGACCGTCCTCTCTGCCCTCCCTACCCAGGAGAGAAGCGTGTCCCCAGCACCCCCGTGAGGACAGCTGATGGCGCCACCATGATGAAGGCAGGTGGGTCGGTCCCCGGCTCGGGCCCCCGGGGCCAGGCGCGGTCCTGGGGGCCGGTGGGCGGGTGACTGGCGGGGGCTGTGGTCACGGCACAGCCCGGGCGGCCCCGGGAGCCCTTGCTTTGGCGCGGTGTCGCTCTCCAGCCCAGCTTCCCGGGGAGACGGGTCCACGCATGGCGGCTCTAACCAGCGCCTCCGCAGCTCCCTCCTAACCTCGGGGCTTGCTCTGGAGGGGTGGCACACGGGCTTGCCCACGCCTGTACTCGTGCTGCACACGCAGATCCCCGCTGCTCAGGTCCCTGGGCACGGCCCAAGCTGCCCGGGAGGGAGGGAGTGGCCACCCTGGGCCCAGGGCCGCCCGCTGTGCTGCCTGGTGTCCTGAGGCTCTGACCCCACAGTCCAGGCCGGGAGCCCGGGACCTCTCATGGGGCCAGCTCGACCTGCCAGGGCTCGGCGGGGGGCCCCCGTGGCCAGCGACTGCAGCATAACCCTCCCCTCCGTCAGTGCTTGGGGCCCATGTGGGCGTGGGGGCAGCGGCCTGCCTGGCCTCGTAGAGGGGTGGGGAGAGGCTGGGAACTGGGACCGTCTGGGGGGCCAGGCTGCAGGGGTGACATTTACGTAGGACTGGGGTGAAGGCAGGAGTCCCTGGGAGGGCGCCCCAGCAGAGGTGCAGTGTGAAGGCCCTGGGGCAGGGCTGGGCCTCTGAGCTGGGGAGACGAGGGTGGGAGGGGGCCGCAGGGCCTGGGCTGCCTGGGGACTTGGGCTTCCGAGGGAGGGAGTGGGGGGCGGGGCTCGGGCGGAGGAGGGCAGGCCCTGCTGTGGTGCTCACAGGCGCCCCCTGGTGGCTGCAGGGAGAACGACTGTGCGCAGCCGGGAGATCAGGTCTAGGAGGGGGAGCTGGGCAGGAGGGGGAGCTGGGCAGGACGGGGCCCCTGGGGACGGGGCTCCGGGGGATGGGGCTCCGGGGGACGGCGGGGGCTGGGCAGGACCGTGGGCTCCCGGGGGGGCAGCGGGGG